GTATAAGTCAGGTAAAAAGCTGCCTTAGAGAGCATACTGTATGTCATTAATGACCATTTATTTATTTATTTGCTTGCTTGTTTTGGCCACAGACGAAAGAGTAGACTTTGTCCAATCCCCTTTCAAACTTCTGACACAGTTGCCCTATCCCCAGTGTAGATGAAGAACTTCTATGTGGTCCAGAATCAGCTGACTTCCTCTCTTCACTGTCACAAACCACATCTCCTATGATAAACACATCTTTATAGTCTCAAGATATCTAGGTGTCCTGATAGGATCTGGATCTGGATGGGTCCAAGACCGAGTTGCTGTGGTTTCCGGCTCCCGATATAGCCAGTTGGTGCCATCACTGACTATTGGGGGCGAGTTGTTGGCCCCCACAGAGAGGGCTTGCAACTTGGGTGTCCTCCTGGATATATGGCTGTCTTAGAAGAACATCTGATGGCTGTGGCCAGGAGGACTTTCTATCAGGTTCGCCTGATTCACCAGTTGCGTCCCTTTCTGGATCGGGACTCCTTATGCACGGTCACTCATGCCCTCGTCACTTCCTGCCTGGACTACTGTAATGCTCTCTACATGGGGCTCCCCTTGAGGAGCACCCGGAGGCTCCAACTGGTCCAGAATGCGGCCACGCAGGTGGTTATGGGAGTGACATGGCGCTCCCATGTAACACCTCTCCTGCGCGAGCTGCACTGGCTCCCGGTGGTCTTCCGGATGCGCTTCAAGGTATTGGTTACCACCTTTAGAGCACTCCATGGCTTAGGGCCTGGGTACTTACGAGACCGCCTTCTGCCACTTGTAGCCTCTTACCAGCCAGTACGCTCTCACAGAGAGGGGCTTCTCAGGGTGCCGTCAGTCCAACAGTGTTGACTGCCGGCCCCCAGGGGGAGAGCCTTCTCTGTGGGGGCATCTGCCCTTTGGAACAAGCTCCTCCCGGAGATACGGAGGATCCCAGATTTACGCACTTTCCGCCGTGCCCTCAATACTTTTTTATTCCAACAGGCTGGGCTGGCCTAACTCTTTTTTAACTGCTTAATTTTAATTTGCTTTTTAAAAAAGGGATGTTTTAATTAGTATGGGCCAAATTTGTTTAATATTTTTTAAATTGTTTTTTAAATTTTATATTGTATGTGTTTTATCTTTGGCTGTTCACCGCCCTGAGTCCTTTGGGAAAAGGGCGGTATATAAATCCAAATAAACATAAACATAAACATAGACCACCACTTAAGTGTGAGTCAGCAGTGTGGTGCAACTGCCAAAAAAGCCAACATCATAGGGATAGTATCAAGATCAAGGGAAGTGATAGTACCAGTCAATATCATACTGGTGAGACCACATATGGAATATTGGATCCAGTTCTGGTCACCACAATAGAAAAAAGGTGGTGAGGTCCTAAAAAGAAGGCAGAAAAGCAGCGAAGACAATAAGAGGTATGAAGTCTAAATTGTATGATAAACAACTAAAGAAACTAGGTATGTTTATGGAAATTCTCAGTCATCCAAGTCATCATTGTCCCAAAGGAGCTTTTTCAAGAGACAACTGGACTTCCTTGTTTTTCTTTAAAGACATTTCTCTTCTCAACCAAAAAGCTTCTTCAGATCTAGGTATGCTTATTTTAGCAAAGAGAAACATCAGGAAGATATAATAGCAATTTAGAGGGTTGGACTAGAAGACTTGAAAGGTCCTTTCCAATCATATAATTCTATATTGTTCCAAGCAATAAAAATCCAGGCAGAGGGGTAAACTAAGTTAGCAACTCTTCCACACGTAAAGATTCAACTAACTTCTCAACTCCAACCCCAATTTCAGCTCAGAAACAGACCCAGGTATCACCCTATATTAGGCTCCTTCTAAAATATAGCATGCCTCATCCCCACCATTTCCAATAAGAATTCATTTCCCAAAATTCCATTGAGACTCTTATAGCAACCAGACATTTTTTCTAATATCAGAAGAACAAAACAGCTTCTAGACAACTCCAAATCACTTCCAGGCTTTGTTCACAATTCCAACTCTCATTCTTCAGCAGAAGCAGCCAATGGACTAATTTCAGCAGGTGCCACCTGAAAACATACAAGCTATCAGGGTTCCGACAAATGTCCTAATTAAATCATGAGCCTCAAGCAAAGCTTCAAAAGAAATCCAGTTATTTATAGGAGCTTCATGCCAGCACAGACCAGGTGGAACCAACTCTGACCTTAGTTAATTTGCGCTTTGCCTCTGACCCTGTTTCCCCCTTCCCCAAATATGTGTCATCAGTCACATTCCCCAACAAAGCAATGTAAAAGTCACTCCCCTCCGACCACTGTGGGTTTCCATGGAGATGACCTCAGCGTATCAGTTGGAATGTGCCTTGTTTTGACTGAGATATCAGCTCCTTGATTCAGCTGTGACATTTGCTTTCCCATTTGCTTCCCTTGCCTATGGCAAGTCGAGAGCAGGTCAGGGATACTTTGTGAGTTCAAATGAGAACTTTGAAGGCTGAAGTGGAGAAGGGTTCCATGTGTACAGCAGTTGAACATGGGTCAGTCGGTCCTGAGAGATAGGTGAGCATCGTTCCGAAGGGATGGGCGATGACTTCCGTCGCCCTAGGCCAATCAAAAGGGAGTCGGGTTCAGATCCCCAAATCCCCAAATTGATCGTGCTGTTCTGCACTGTAGGGCATCCAGTTTAATGTGACCAATCCTGAGAAGCCAGCAGGACCCCCGAGGAGAGTTCTCTTTTCTTTGTGAACCAACATCAGCCAGCCAAGCTGAATAGTATTGAGTCTATTTGGTAGTTAGTTCTCCTGAGCATTGATTAGATACCAAGGGAGCAGGTCACAAGGACAACTATTGTCTTTATAAGAATAATAATGGTTGTATAGGAATTCATTGTACCATTTTCATAATTTGAGTATTGTGCTATCCCTGTGCAAGTTCCAACCATTTCATATGTATGTGTAGTATCACAATGTACATACAAGAGGTTTGGGCTTCCATTGAAATACAAAGCTGTTTTCATCCTTTGCCTTCCTCTTGACCCCGTGCACAGCCTGTGTAACTAAAAAGGATTTTAGGGCACATTCTTTGTTTTGTTTTTTTTCCTTTATGCAGGCAACATGAAAGTAGTGGAAGAAAAGCAATTTCACTAAATACTTTTTTTTAATCCTGACCTCAGTTTAACCCTGCATTTTCTTGACAGTCTAGCTAATTTTTCTAATCAGTAACTCAGAAATTAAAGAGAGACGACTAATCTGATGCTATGAAAATTTCAAGCAAGTATCTTAAGTAATTGTGATTACTTTCCCTTAAAAACTTTGTTTCCCACATCTATTTCACAGACCATAAAATTCATTAAAATAGTTTTCCTGCTCTGTTATTGTGTGCTATAATCACAAAGCTCTACGTTTTTGGTCTACTCTATCTCTCCAAATTGAAATATACCTGGTTGCCATAGCTCAAAAGTACAAACTGTTAAGAACACTTTATTGAATGCTACTGCCAAGTTCTATTTTATTTCCTTTTTTGCTTTATCACTAAACTCTTAAAACCAGAAAGTCGCTAGTTACAATCAATTTGGATTTTTGATAATTTGGCTTTACAAAATCTGTGAACAGAAAACAAATAAAACGCTCCAGGTGAAGGCACACAACATCTACTACAGGGGTGTCAAATTCCAGGCCCACTGGCCATGCCCACGCTCGGGTTAGCGAAGGGGGAAAAAAAGTCCCGATATGTCACGTGACACTATCAACACCACGATGATAAGTGTTTGACACCCCTGATCTACTACATAAATTAGAACTCCCAAAATGTAACTACAAATGTAATTACATTACCAGCCAAGAGAGACTCATCAACAATGAAATGTGAGATCTGAGTTCAGTTGCAAGCACAATGAAAAGAAATACAGTGAATGAATTCAGCCATATACTGAATCAAAATTATGGTCCATCTAGTTGTTTGCACTGACTGGCAACGACTCTTTTATATTTTATATTTTAAAATTGTTCATTCCTATTCCTGCTACCAGGATTAGTATTAGCAGGAACATTAGTATTTAGTAAATTTATATTCTGCCCAACTTCCAAAGATTCTAGGGTCAAATCAGAAATCAATACACATACACATGCACATAAACACACACCAAACACCCACAAAAACAGGCACAAGACACAACAGATTCCCTGTGAATAACACAGGGGAGACAATATACCAGCCAACATATTCCTTGCTTTCTACCAGGCACTCTGCCCTATTTACAGATAACCATCTGCAAAGCAAATTATCTACTCCAAGGACAACATGAATTTCCAACAAATTTATCTGAACCTCACAGAGATCCCAGAGACCGTCATTAAAAGTAAAATGATTGGTGGCTGCAACCAGTGTATTATTTGGCTTCTCATATATGTTTCAATGATTGGCCAGAAGTACTGTAACAACCATTTTGTAAATACTCGTTATAAACTCTCAATATTCCAACATGCCCCAAACAAATGGAGATGCCATCTACTAGGACAATACAGAACCTTTCAACGTACAAAATATGTATGTGATTCCTGGATATTGCCCTTCTTTCAAAGATAGCTAAATACCAATGGATGTACCATAAATTATTTCTGTTGGGACACATATGGAGGCACCCTATCAATATGTGTGTAGAACATAAAATAATAACATTTGATCAGGTTAAATTGTATGGAATTTGAGTTTCCATCAAACTGCAATGTTTTATGCATTAATATTTCACCTCATGTATGGCAAGATTTTCATGAGACATAAACAGCTGAAAATCCTCTTTGGGAACATCCAAAGTTGCCAGAGCTTCATCAGACAGATTTAAAGTCAGGCTACAAATTTTGGAACGTGATCAGTCAGGATTTATGTACATATGATGAGCCATTTCAATTGTGAATTATGCAAATCACACAATTTCCTGACCATCATAATCTCACAGTTCTCTTCTATATCTATAAAAAGTGTCTTAAAAAATATTGTCATAAACAAACTTCTTACCTTATAGCCACCAATCCGGTGCTCTTGCTTAAATTCTTTCCCATTTTTTAACCATCTCATGGTTGGTTGGGGATTTCCTGCAGCTGGACAACGGAATTTGACTGTGTTAGCTGCTGGAACAGCATGTAAGCGCTTCTCCATTTTGTCAGTGTGTGTCCATATAGGTCCTTCTGTTTTTAAAAAAAATAAAGAGAAGAGAGAAAGGAGGAAAAAAAATTTACTCAATTTCTATATAAATTCCAGGCTAGAAACTTCCCAAATGGGTGACATTCCAATGAGATACAACATGAGACTTTAAGAAGTCACACTGATGTTTTACACTGTCAATTTATGTTCTCTCTGATAAGTCACATAAGATATTGAATACCTCAGAAATGTCAGTGTGTACATAGACAAAAATCTAGCCAATGTCAGGTAAATTATTACTTATGATTCATTCCTTAAGGCACTTAGAACATAGTTCAAGAATGAAACTTTTTAAAAATCCATCATCTTTAAGCTTAAATTAAACAAAAATTCACTTAAAATATGGATATTACATTAAAACAGAGTTTACAACATTTCTTTTGAAACGTTGGCCTTAATTTTATTGAATCCATTATCTTCTGAATAACTACATTGTTCTGCAAAACTATTATTTGATCAACTAGATTTGATCTCCAAAGTTCTATATGTTTTGCCTATGATGCCTAGATGCCCTAGATGCCTATGGGACTGTTTATTTTAAACCGATCCTATTCATATAGTGCAGTGTTTCTCAACCTTGGTAGCTTGAAGATGGGTGGACTTCAACTCCCAGAATCCCCAGCCAGCAGCGCTGGCTGGGGGATTCTGGGAGTTGAAATCTACCCATCTTTAAGCTACTAAGGTTGAAAAACACTGATATAGTGGATTCATCCTGAATGAGCATAGTGTTTCTTATTTCCTATTTCCAAGAGAATCAGGAGAGGGCAACAAAGAAGTATTTTTCTATTACTACACTCATCCTTTGGAATATCTTTCTACTGGGTTGGCACAATTATGCCTAATTGTAGGAAGACCTTGAAAACAAAAACCTTTAGAAAGGTATTAAGGAATATTCACTGGGTTTATTTATATTTAATTACATTAGAATATATATATGTATATTAGTCATATGATTATTCAGTTCTATGGTTTGATCTAGGACTTATATAATTGTAATAGTTTTACATTACAATAGTTTTACATCTAATATTCATTATTATTTTAATGGTACACTACAATGAAGTATGATGGTACACAATTATATAAATATTACACATGCATATGATGTTTCTTCAGATAATGTATTTTTAAAAGTGCCATAGTAAAAAGGTTTGCATGAATAAAGTCCTTCAATTTTATTTAATAATTTGAGCTTTTTTTTCAGCTCAACTCAACTCAAGGCAACCCAACCCAATCCAACTCCTGGTTAGGTGTAACATCACAGAGTGTGGTGATGGCTTTCCACTTCCTACACAATCTGGTCAGAACTAATTCTGAGCCACAATTTGTGGGTTGGAAACAAACACATCCTATTATAATGCTTCTTAAAACACCACAACTTAATTCTAGGAAAAATAATTATTGTAGTAATTAATTACTAAGTAATGTTTACTCCATGGTAGTCCCAAATTAAAGTATGCTCTCTTAGCAGCTTTTTTCATGTCAGTTTGGTTCCCCCATTTTCAATATCTTGTTTTGATCTTTGTATATTTATATTGCTATTTCTGATTCTGAATCTTTATATATAGCTCTAAATTGCAATATGTTAGGGTGTTGTTGTTTTTTTAGTTTTATCCCACCTTTCTAAGTAACTAAAGGTGGAACATTATTTGATACTTCAAAAACCATTCTGAGAGTATCACTAAGAATTTGAGCAATCTAGGTAGGATGAAAGAAAGGGAGAGGAAAGAAAGAACTTGTTTTCTTTCTAGATTTCCGTCAAAACATAATTTCAGGAATGAACCTTAATGAGCTTCATTTAGTGTTCCTGTTTTTACAAAATAAATTCAATTAACTGAGATAAATACTAGGATGTACCCAAAGGCTACATTCATGCCTGATAAAAATTTCCCTTTATTACATTTTTTGGGGAGAATGTATATCCGAGTTTAATTAATACAGGGAATGTGAACATGCCATGGAGTTGGAAGGTCTTAGCCGAGAGTATTTATCCACCCACATAGCAATTTTTCCTTGTGTTTACTTATTTTCAATGTCATGCACAATATTGCTAGGAGCATTATTTGAAAGAGTGGATAAAGTGCTCCCTCCCTCTCTCCCTCCCTCCCCCCCTTCTTAGAATATAGGGAAAGAAAAAGAGTAGGAGAGAAAGTGTAGGGGAAAAGGGAAAAAAGAGAAAAAAGAATTGACTTCTGACTCTTTTCTGTGTAGTACAGAGGTGTCAAACTGGCGGCCCACAGGTTGGATGTGCCACATGTAGGCCACGCCTACCCCAGCTCTGTAAAGGGGGGAAATGCTGTGATATGTCACATGATGACAACGTGATGGAGTGAGTTTGACACCCATGATGTGGTAAAATAAAATAACATCATTATAACCTCTACTTTTTTTACTTTTACATAGTAATATACACTAACATTTATTGTAACAACAAACCTATCTACGGAAAAGCAAAGTGGTATTATAACTTTTGACAAAGTTATATTATTAAATGTCAAGATATCGATGGTGGACCGCAAAGGCAAACAGCTTCAGAATTAGAATTTTGAAAGGAATACCTGAAATATATGTGGAAGGGAGGTGCAAAGAATCTGCGCACTGACAAAATTTCCATCTGCCAGTTATAAAACACTTTACTGCTTGGATCTACCCATATACTAAGCCAATACATTACAAGGTTCTTGAGAAGAACTCAATATGAATGGCAGCCAACACCAGCTAAAGCTAAACTGGCAGCTATGATTTCACATTGTTGGGCAAATAGTAATTTAGCTCAATCATAATTACTACTAATTTTCATTATCTTTCCTGGGCTGTTATTATTATATCCTTAGTCTTTTCCTCCAGATAAGAGAAACCTGATTAGCTGTGTATTAATGTCATGACTATAGTTAGTTCTATTAACTCATTTAGCTATTGAAAAAAATTAAAACTAAAATGTGTTTAACAGCAGGGCCATTTAATTATTTTACAATGGGTGCTTCCTGAAATAAATCAGTTGACATGGAATTTCTTAAGACGAGAGGGGCTCAGAAACATAACCATTCTTCTTTCAATCCGCCCCCCCCCTGCATTTCCTTTATTAGCATAGAAGAACATAACAACTAAACCTTTCCAGCTCTCAGTTACAGCTGTTTTTGAATCCACTAACACACATTCGGGAATCTTCCCTTCTACTTCACAAAGCAAAATAAAAACACAGCTGGGGAAGCGTTCAGCTACAAACTCTTTAACAAGCTGACCAATCAAAGAAAACATCTAAAAAAAAATTAAGCACTCTAAACATTGTGTGTGATTGCTTTTGTTTCAGGGCGGAGACTTTAGAACTAATTAGTTAGAAAAATCAGTCAGCATTTGATCGTGCTGTTCTGTGATGTTCCATCCTTAAAACCACAACCTTAAGAAAATACTTCATTATTTTAAAAGGCGTATAAAAGAAGGAAACCTTAAAATAGATCTTACAAACTAAACTGCAATATTGCTGCAAAGGAATTTAGACAACCAAAATAAATCAGTTAAGTCTGTAACATACACAAAAAAACAAACAACTTCACTCATTCAGCAACAATCTTACTAAATACCTATCCATAATGAATATATGTTTTGGCCCTGAAACTAGCATGTTCCACAAAGCAGTTTAAACAAATAACATTGTTGGGAAAAAGTCCAAAATCTGGATAAAGGGGAAATTGTTCCTAAAGAGAATTAGCATTAAGTGCAGGAACTCATATGGCTGCTAGGTTCACTTTGGCCTTGGAATGGTCATGATTTATTAATTGCTATGAGATACTGCAATCTAAATTTTACCAGCAACAAGTATGATGTTCTCTTGTCTCTCAAGTTCTAGTTAGCCGTCAAACATATTGGCATCATGGTTTCTAGACTTCTTTCATAACAGCAATAAATGTATTGGTCTAGCGTAGGTAGCTAGGTGACTTGGGTAGCAATAGATAACCTTTGGTAAAATGACCATCACTAAAACTGATTTCTTCTAGCTACAAGCTACATCATGAGTTTTCAAGGTAAAACATGAAGTGTTTGATATGCATTGTAAATTTTCACTATTGCAATAATTAGTACCATTGCATTATAACATCATCATCTGTCACAATTACCCTCAACCTAATCCCTACTAGCTGTGATCAAATTACTAACAATACTGGTATTGCATCTTACATAAAATGCTGGTCAAAGCATATACACCATAAAATCCAGTATCTATGTTGACATTCAAATTCAACTTCAAGATGGAACAGCAGTTGTACTTAGTAACTGCACTGAATAGCCAAGACATGCTCCTGCCTTTATATTTCTTAGTAAAAAGCATTCTGACAAAATATGAAAGTTATAAAAATCATATGCAGGTTGGCATCAACCCACCTATTCTTCTCTCATAGGTAAGAAACAGCTCAGAGAGACAGGTGTGTACACATGGCTGTCTATCACATTGACATTCCCTGTAACAAATATTTTCAAAACTGATATTTTAAATCACTCATATGTAATATTATATCTATCTATACACACACACACAAATGCACTTATATAAATGTATACTCAAATAGCAATAGCACTTATACTTATATACCACTCCATAGTTTTACAGCCCTCTCTTGATGGGTTTACAAATGTCAGCATACTGCCTCCAACAATCTGGCTCTTCATTTTACCAACCTCCGAAGGATGGAAGACTGAGTCAACCTTCAGTCGGTTTGAATCAAACTTCCTGGTGTGTGGGCAGAGTTACCCTGCAATTCTGCATTCTAACCACTGCACCACCATGTTTTAAATATACTTTATCCATGTTTGCACTCACACATACCCTCCAAACTGTCCCAGGTTAATGTAACAGAACAAATGTTATATATTATGTAGGGTAATGCTATGTGATTTCCTTTCCCAGGAAAAAGACCACATTTAATCTTGGACTGAGATCGCATGGCCATTCTCCAAAAAGTAGTTGCTGAAGTTAAATTAAAATTAGATTGGATTCATTCATTTTAAATTTACTTTTAATTACAATTAAATATAGCCAATATGTTTATGATTATTATAGAGTTCGTCTTCTGATGTATTAAAAATACAATCTGATAGCAATGTTTAGTTTCAAATTGTTTTGATACTGTTCTGTGTTGACAGATATGGTAATCACACTCTGTCTGAACTGTCAACTTTCTTCTTAAAGTTTTTGGAATCAGGCCATACAGTCATTAGGAAATATAGCTTCTTAATCATTATACTCTCCTTTAAAGGTGTTTGTTTTTATTATAAATTACTGCCACATTATCAGAAATAAATTGGTACATATTCAAATAAATGAACAGGGCAAAATATGCTAACTTATATCCATGCCACAAATACTAGAAATATTTTTAAAATAAGAGGGATAAACTATGGCTAATTAAAGCTCATGCACTTTACAATCAAGGAGTAAACTACTGTAAAACAAAACCTCATCTTCACAAAATTCAAGCTGGGAGCTTTGGATGAAGAGCTCCAAGAGCGCAAGAATGAAAAAGATAGCAAGAATAATGTATTTCAACACATATCTTCCAAACAGCTTTAATTATTGAATCTACTTACTGACTGGGTTGTTGTCATTCACAAAATCCTCAGAGGCATCATTGTCATCTTCATCATCTCCAGATGAAAGAACATCTGAAGTTTCAAAAAATTATTTTAAAAATCATTTATCTGCTAGATATTGTAAGCAAACATGCATTTTTCTGCAGTCTGGATATTAAGAATACATATGTGAGAGATGATTCTGAAAATAGCAATAACACTTAGACTTATATACTGCTTCCCAGTGCTTTACAGCTCCCTAAGCGGTTTACAGAGTCAGCACATTGCCTCCATTAATGTGTTGGCTAAAACAATGTGATGGAAGGTGAATCAACCTTGAGCCAGTGAAAAGCACCTAAAGCAAGTCTTACTTATCATTGTCATCATTATCATTATCATCATCCTTGGAAGGATTCAATAAGTAGATCAAAATGTCAAATCCAGACTAAATATCTGGCTGACTGTAAACTAACCATATCAATACAGGTTGTAAGTCAGTGAAACTAGGTTTGTGCTTCAGAACATCCATGAGTATGCACTACTGTCCTCTCCATGCATACACATAGATCATGAATAAAAATCTTAAATAAAATATTATCTTGTTTATTCTTTTTGGATAAGAAGCAAAATAAAATGCATTTGTGACTTAAGAAATACATATATTTGCCTAAAGGAATAGATAACATCTCTACTATGTATTGAATATAAAATAATGTAAAATAGCTTTATTATTACTGAAAATGCAAAAGCATGCATTCAAATAGTTTGTGTTATTACTATAATACACATACACCCACTCTATTTGTTAGTGGAACATTAAATTATTTAAACAACCTTCTTTCTCCTGATGTGACCTTAGGACCATCTCTGGGGTGAGCCTGACTGAATATAATTCTGCATAGATAGATGCATACCTATTCGGTGGTTCTATTAATCACTATTTTTAGTTTCCGGTTTATATTCCAGATCTATAGAAACCCTTTTTGAAAAAAAGTGACTCACAGGAATGCATATAAACTGCTTCCCTTCCCTGTGAATCATTAAGGCAGCTGTGTCATTTTTTTTAGGCTTCAAAATACACTCCTGAATATTTCTGCATGCAAAGAGAAAGAGATGGGTGTGCACACACGTGAGGAGACCGCAGAAATAGTAGGCCTCTGGAATGAGTCATGGTTGTTCTGAAAAAGTGAGGTTGTGTATACACTAACATACATTTTTTAGGACCTCTTTTAAAGGATTTCATAGTTTTAATATATATATATAGGCAAACTGCTAAGTAATGAACACATACCGTGTTTCCCCAAAAATAAGACCCTATCTTATATTTTTTTGAACCCCAAAATAAGTGCTTGGCCTTATTTTCAGGGAGGCCTTATTATTTTGGGGCGCATGGAGGAAACCAGATGAAATGGCGGAGACTGGCTGCACATGCATTTAAATATTTTTGGGGAGGGCTTATTTTCAGGGGGGGTTATTTTAGTGCATGTGCTCAAAAGCCCGATTGGGCTTATTATCAGGGGATGTCTTATTTTAGGGGAAACAGGGTACATACAAAGCTGCTTATGCAGGTAGTCCTTCAGTTACGGCCATAATAGAACCTAGCAATAACAGTTGTAAGTCATGACATCTGTAAAGTCGGCCACCATGTGATTGAATCCAATTTTATGATCTTTTTCATGGCAACCGTTAGGAAAATGTGGCAGTCATTAATTGAACACAGCAGTCATTAAGCAAACCCATTTTCACTATGCGCCAGTTTCTGCTAGAAACCAGAAGCACATGCATGTTTCTGGCAAAAGCCATCATAAATCATGGTCATGGTGGGATGCCGCAAACAGTCATAAATTCAGGCCATTTGCCAGGAAAAATGCAGTCACATGACCAGGAAAGCAACTTTGGAACTTTGAAACCTGATTATAAGTAGCTTTGGAGGGGAGTATCGCTTGTAACTTCAAATGGTCAATAAGTAACTGTCATCAATTTACAGATTAACAGAGTTGGAAGGGACCTTGTATGTCATCTAGTCCAACCCCCCGCCCAAGCAGGAGACCCTACACCACACCATTTCTGACAAATGGCAGTCCAATCTTAAGTGATGAAGCTCCCACAACTTCCGAAGATAAGCTGTTCTCCTTATATCCAGGTTAAATCTCTCCAGGCCTACAGGTGCTTTGGAAAATAGCTTGATCCCTTCCTTTCTGTGGCAGCCCCTCAAATATTGGAAGACTGTTACCATGTCTCCCCTCATCCTTCTCTTCACTAGACTAGCCATGCCCAGTTCCTGGAACCATTCTTTAGATGTTTTAGTCTCCTGTCTCCTAATCATCCTGGTAAATCATAAGTTGAGGACTATCTGTATTTCCCAGAGTAATCAGTAATTTCATTTATGTGTGGGTAGCAACTCAGAAACATTCCTCAGTTTACTCCAATACTGAAGAAATGTCTTTTTAATTTTAATTCCTTAAATACATCATGCTGCCAGTTTTCAACAAAACTGTTGCTAAGCCAGGTTGGTTTGAGAAGTTAAAAAATTGAAAAAACCACAACCACCCCAAAAAAATAAAATCCAGCAGATAAAAAAATTATAATGTTGACAGAGAAGAGGACAATTTTTTGGCTGGGTACAAAAAAAAAAATCATTGGCATGAGATGAATATTTGGGGTTGAAAATCCCCTCTCGTGTTAAAACCTATTTCATTTTCACATGGAATGTATACCAAAAAGGCCATCAAGGAAATATCAAAAAAGCTAGATGAGATGGGTAATGAAAAAGTAACTCGAATGTTACATGGCATATTTTCTTTTACCCTAGTAAAGAGTAAAGCTATATCCCCATACCTAATTAATTTAGACTAGCTGTTCTCATACATTGGAAAATGTCTCTGAACAAGCTTACCTGTGACATTTATAATGAAGTAGAAAGTTTCACTGTCTGCAATCCTAACAGTGCAAGCATAAAGGCCAGAATCTCTGGGTGTCGTATCTTTAATCCACAAAGTTTCCCCAGTAATGACTGTTCGATTATTGGGCACCAAACGTTTTCCATCTTTAGTCCAAATGATGGTGGTGGCCTCTTTCACTTGACAGCGCAACGTCAACGTTTCTCCCGGAACTACAGAACGTACGTCAGGCTGAGAGATTTGATATTTGGTGGGTGGCTCTGCTAAAGTGAAATATAGGTGGGCACAGAAGGGAAGGGAAGCAACAGAAGTGGGAAACAAAATGTCCAACAGTTGTCAGTGAAGGAACTTGATCCAGCAAAGTAATGTGCAGATTTTAAAACAATCATCATTATCATTTCTGCCAGCTACCATTTTAATAATATTGAGCCAAACTAAAAACGCTGATAAAATGTGCTTTATCATTGATAGCTGATAAGAAGAGCAACATGCCGTCCTAAGAGCTCTGGGATAAAATTAGATTCAAAAGAGAAGTGGATACACTTCTCAGGACAATTAAAGGGCAGGCTGTGATGAGAAGAGGAAGCCTCTTCCTCACACGAGCATCCTAGTAACAGAACATTGAAAATTTAAGATTCTGCCATTCAGTTAAAGGTACTGTAAAATGCTGAACATAGGTACATTCCACATCAAGGAGAACCAGCAGCTTTCTTGGTTCTACGTCTAATTGACTATGAGATTTATTTCCAGAGATCTCTTTACTGTACCTAATTGATTACAAGATCTGTAACTTGATACGGCAATATGAAAAATCTCTTACAAGTTCTTCTTGGTAATATACAATCCTACAGCCATGATCATAAGTTGCCTCTAACTCTTAAACATTGTAGTCTGCATGACCTATGGATTTCATCTATAGAATCTCACAGGCATGTGTGCATCTTCAGGGGAGATAGGAGGGTCAGGTGGGATTCTGACCAGCAAGGCCATGCATATTGTGACATCCTCAAAAAAAATGATGCAAATTCTGCAAAGTGCACAAATAACATTATCTGGATCGTTTACATAATGACACCATGACACATGCACACAATGGCAAGGTGGCTTCTACCAGCTGTCTGGGGTCACAGCTCTGAGCCATATTATTGCAGTTCTTCTGTATGCATGATTTAGCTTGTTTCAGGAACATCGGTGCTTTAATGAGAATTTTGAGAATAGCCAGCAGCCAAATGATGGTTAATAAATAAATGTTGCCTTATGGTTTATTTAATTCTATTTATTTATTTTGTGCCATTATCTAATGCTCACAGCCAGCCTACATAGCAGCATATTCGGTTGGCTAAAAACACAATGTGGGAAAGCAGGAATAAGTCTGTTGGCTCACTAACTTCATCATGAATTGAAGACAAACGGTCACAATGGGGAGCCTTCTCTGTTCGAGGTGCATGAAATCAGTTCTCTAAATCACTGGATGCCTCCCTAACTTGCGATTAGGACTACTGCTGTTCACTGAGATAGGCAGAACCAATTCACTCGTCTTTATTCTCCTTCATGGTATAACTGATCTGAATGGCAGAGCACCAGTCATCGCTTTCCACCAATCACTAATAAAACATAACACAGAGTAAACTGTCTGCAGGTGTAAAGATGATGTGGAAGAACATAATAAATGTCCAAGCCCATAAAACTACTGCCTAATCCTGACCCACAATCTCTGTAAATTAGCACTGTGAAAAATAATGATTATTTTTCTATGGCAAAAATTCCTTCTTTTAGCTTTGCCTCACTAAAGCAATGCGATTCTTTTACTTTCAGGTTATGAGATGGGTGGCTGATATTACTAAATACTTCGGATCTTAATCTAAATAATCTTACTATACAAAGAGCAACAGTACCCACATATGGTTTTAAAAAATGAGTCTCAATATTCAACAGCTAAAAATTCTTTTGACTAAAAAGTCCTCAATGAATGCTAATACACTGCATTAACTAATGTGGCAATTATAGACCCCATTAATCTATTGTGACATTTTGCATTAATAGGTTACATGGCAAGGAAGGAAGGAAGGAAGGAAGGAAGGAAGGAAGGAAGGAAGGAAGGAGATGGGAATGAGAAGGAGGGAGCAGGGAAACGGAAGGAAGGAAGGAAGGAAGGAAGGAAGGAAGGAAGGAAGGAAGGAAAGGAAGGAAGGAAGAAGGAGGGAGGGAGATGGGAATGAGAAGGAGGGAGCAGGGAAACAGGGAAGGAAGGAAGCAAGGAAGGAAGGAAGGAGGGAGGGGAGGGAGGGAGGGAGGGAGATGGGAATGAGAAGGAGGGAGCAGAGAAACAGGAAGGAAGGAAGGAAGGAAGGAAGGAAGGAAGGAAGGAAGGAAGGAAGGAAGGAAGGAAGGAAGGAAGGAAAGAAACATACATCCCAAATGGCAAATGGTTTGCTTTCTACTATAAAGTTTATATTGATAAAATGTTTAAAAGGGGTTTTTTAAAAAATGCTCAGAATCCATAATTGGTTTAGGTTTTTTGATATTTAAAAATAAGTATGATTCGCTTACTTTCTGAAACAGTTAATACTATTCTTTACGCAAGGCATTCATTTTAAATAGCATTGATACCAAAATGACAAATACTCATTGCAACATCACAAACCAAGCTTTGTCCTTTCATACTTGCATTGTGACATTGTCTGAGAATACATAGAGAGTATATACCACAATATATAGGGAAAATATACCGCAATGTCACAATGCAAATTTCTCCACTCGCCTCCCCTTCCACTCATTCAGAACACAAATAATTCTTTATATAACCTTTGGGACACTAGATTTATTGGCTTTAGATTTAATCAACAGCTCAGAGAACTTTGTAAATTAGCTCGATCTAAGTTTTATTTAAACCACAACTCTGTGAAATATTTAAATATCAGCCTACGATGTCATGTTAATGAAAGATTTTCAATCAGAAACTTGTTAGCAAATCAGGCAGATGTACTTTAAAGAGATTTGTGTATCAAAATGGTAGCAAGAAAGATAGAGATGATGCATGAAATAGGAGTATTTTGACAGTCATGGTCAATGAATGACAAAATTTACAGCCACAGCAAGGAGATCAAAGCCCTACCCCCATTATATCCAAAAACTGGGTGGGGCTTTGACTTTGTTGACCAGGGATGTGTTTTCCAAAATGAATTGTGTGCCACTGAATGCTTTTAAAAGCTACAGTCAATTTTATTATAAATGGGGGGAAATGCTAATGATTTTCAAAAAAAAAGAAAAGGTCTTAGAATGACATAAAGGCACAGCCGTATTTGCAAAAAAAAAAAAAAAAACTTATAGCGCAAAATGTTTTTGTTCTCTATTCCATCCAGTTATAATATCTTGAAGAATATTCCATTTCATTGCCTCCCAATCTTCACTGGAATATTTTCTCACCCATTCCTTTGTTTTGAATTTCAAAGTTGTTTCTTAGTATTATTTTCATTTTTAAAATTTGTTTTAAATTAGTTCCTTCAAAGCTTTCTGATTCCTTCTTCCAGTGCCTGAATGATGAGGTCATATTGGCTATACAAGCCTCAACCCTTACACTTAAACATTAGAAATAGTAAGAATAATTGTTTTAGCATGAGAAACATAAAATATTAAGAACAGTCGTGACATAACTCTTTGTTTTGCCAGATTCCAACCTAGAAGCGGCTAAAGCCTGTCACTTTTTATAAGCCTTGTCTATAAAACTTCTCTCTGCACCGCTTTTGACTATGTGCCCAAACCAAAAAGAGCGCAGGTGAGATAGTGCAGCATTATCCTGCCCCTTTTTTTTCAGGAAAAATTCTCCAGATTTAAATACTGATGAGATCCAGGCAACGTGGAAACCATATTGCTCTTCAGATTTAACCCATCTCCCTCTGTGATGCTTTGGGCTAAACTAGTACATACTTTTTAATACTTACATGAAATTTAGCACAAAAGCTATGAACTCAGCTATATAGGGCCTGTCTGCCTGCTCTTTCCAAGCGTACATTATTCAGCAACAACCATATGGCCTTCCAGCCAGACTTGGCAGGGACCATTTCAATTCAAGTGACACGGATGATTTCCAGAGATTCTTCTCATGATCTACGTTTATTAAGAAGATCAGTCACTTTGAACTTGATATTTTTCTTTTTTCTTTTTCCCCTAAAAGTATAGATTGCCTTTCCAACCTACTGTTAAAATTTCCCTCGATGGGTAACATAAATCTTTCTCTCATCAGTGCCATTTTGGGGGTGTCCAGCATTGTCATGGAAGTGAATTCATCATTAGTTCACCTTACAAAGTTATTTCTCATGCTTTTCAATTCAAGCTGAGACACACCATGCCAATGTCAAAACATTATTCAAGAATAAGTCTTGTTCTTCCAGCATCAGTGAAGACTGCTCAGCCAATCTGCAGCCCACTTTGCATAAAATTAAAAAGGTATGCATCCATTAAACAAGAAAGCAGTTCTTATATACAGGGAGAAAATCTGCTACTTACTTACTTAATCTTCACTATCTTAGCCTTTGTCAGTTTGCATGTGCAGTTGTTTTGTTATATTCTGTGGACGGATGGCAACAATACAAATGTAAACAAAAGGCCCGATAGATTTTGTGGAAGTTTTTGAAATAAAACAGCAGTACAAGAAAGTTCTTGAGGATAGGATTTTGTAAGATATGCAAACAACAAGCTCTTTTTTTCTTTTCTAGCTTTTCAATAAGATAAACAATTTTGGTCCATATTTTGTTCAACATCCAGTTTCAAGCTGTAATTCTCTACACCATCCTGGGGATGAGTACAACTGAACTTGGAAGACAAACATGGGTTTGCAGCGAAAACGCAGTAGCTGCTTCTTTAAAAAAAAAAAAACTGGCAAGAAATACATCCTTACAACTACATTTGAAAGATGTAGACACGACAGCAAAATTCTTGGTCCATCGGAAGTCTGGCTGCTGTGGCTTTACTGTCAGGATGGCTATTAAAAATAAATAATCTGAATACTTTTTTCTTCTAATTTGGCTACCAACACACATAGCAATATTATATGCTTGCTTTCAATCTTATCTTGTATATTATTAATTATTTCAATAACATATAACAAGAATATATAATATAACACTTCAAAACTCATTACACATATGTGAAACTTTCTATGCTCTGTTGACGACATTCTCTGTTGACGACATCTATCATAAAGTTTGTGGCCAGAAGACTTTTAATCAGTTTTTTATGAAAGTAAAGTAAAGAAATATAAAGT